TGTCGGCGAAGCTCGAATTGGGGCGGTTCACGTACTATGCATTTACATTTACGTTTGGATGGATTAGATTACCGAAACGGATAAGCGACTTTCAAAATTCTATCGGTGCAGTTCCACTTCTACAGGACGGCCAAAGTAGAGGTACACAATTTTTTTTGTCGCCATTTTGTTTTAGCGGCTAATTTTATAGTTGTTTGTTAACAATTATTTTGACTAGCTAAAGCAAATTAGCTACGGCGAAGCAGATGTTTCAAAATGGGCCAGGCCTATGTACATTACCTCAAAGAAAACGGGAAAAATCTGTAGAATTCGAGAAAAATGTAGATAATTCATTTAAATCTATCCTAGCTTGGTAAACGAATGATGTTTATCAATTATTTTTATCTACTTTCAACATGACGTCTCACCGATTTAGTTACTCTGTGATTATAGACAATGTCAGTAAACTACAAAGCGACGATTAATCGTAGAAAAAGAACTGTCAGTTAATATAACAGTGTCAAAAATACGTGAAATAAACAAGTCAAACGTCACTAATCAATAAAAATGACAGCTTACCTCCATGACGGCTTTTTGGTGTGTGTTACAATTTCAAGTGTAATTTCCTGTGCTTTACCACCAAACAAAGCTATTATAAAATAATTGGACAGTTGAGAACCGTTTAAAATGTGTTTCTCTATTTTTGAGTATGGTGTGCAAGAACCTGTTTGTGTGTGCCCAGGCTCCATACATTTTAGAACATCTCATTTGATATGGAGCATTTTTTTGATTTATGAACATGTTTTAGTAATCAAAACGTTCTACTCGAATAAATCTTATATTGCTCATATGGTCAGAGAATTGGAACCAATTTTCGTTAGAAATCACTTACCTTCGCGATTAACAACGACTCATTTGATGAATAATCTTGAGAAGCATGGTATTATAACAAAAAACCAATTCCTCATCGTGCCAGAAGAGTTTGTACTAAGCAGAATATTAAAAGTGTTCGTGAAAGTGTAGCCGTAGATCTGACATTGCCTACCAAGTGACGTTTTCAACAACTGCAAATTAAGAAGGCCTCTGTATAGACTATTCTGAAATAACAGCAGGGTCTGTTCCCATGTAAGATATAGATAACTCATAAACTTAAGCCTCGGGATAATAAACAACGTCGTAGCTTCAGCAATTTTGTGTTAACCAAATTGGACATCGACGAATATTTTCATCATAAAATCATTGAGAGTTTTGAAGCCCATTTTAATCTCAGTGGATTTTACGCGCTATTGAGGTGAAGAACAGCCTTATTCGATCCATGAACGACCACTACACCCACATCGAGTAAGAATTTGGTGTGAAATTAAGTTAGGAGGTGGACTCTACTTCTTAGAGATGCTACGAGTGCTGCTGTAACAGTGAATGGAGATCGTTACAGTATGATGGTGAACAGTTTTTTGGATCATCAAGTTAATTAGTTGAACTTAGAAAATATGTAGTGCCAACAAAACGGTGACACAATTGGAAAATATAGAATAATTTTTAGGTCAATTAATTTCAAGAAATGGTGACATTGATTGGCCACCAATATCACTAGATTTCATGGCTCTTGACCTTTTTTCTGTTGGGATATCTAAAGGAACGTATTTATGCTAACCGATTAATCTTCAATACTTATAACAGAATATTCGACACGAAGTCAGTGTCATGACACCAGAAGTGTGTAAAAGTGCGATGAGAAACGCGATGAAAAGAGCTCTCATTTGAAATGCTGCTAGAGATGGACATTTGGCAGATGTTATATATTACACGTAATTGCCTAAATAAAGTTTTTATGAAAAAACACCTTGTAATTTTTGTTTATTTAAAGTAAATTGTAGAAATTAAGTTGTATACCTCTTATTTGGCTACCCTGTACTTAAAATAAAAATTAACTTGTGTTTAAGTACAATTTGCTATCTTTAAGATACAATTTCTCAAAAGTTTTACATTTATTATACTCATGTGAGCTATGAAACCAGGTCTCTCTAAAAATCTTTATGTGTCTCAAATATATGAATGCTATCACACTACATATTATAAATACATATTATAATCAACTAAGTACACACAACAACAAGCATACTTATAAATAAATAAACAAGCGACAGTAGCCTAATGTTAGGCCGCAGACCGCAAACTCAAAATGGTCGTGGGTTCGAATCCGCCATTCTACTACTAGCATGAACCACCCTAAAGTAATGTTTATAGCATTGTCAATATTCTTTAAAAATGAAATAAAAATAAAAGCTATATTAATAAATGTAGCAGCCCAAAACAAACAACACAAAAAGTACTCTGTGGCTCTGAGCTTGCGGTGGTATTGAATATTTTCTGTAGTTTTTGTGTACTGTAATTATATTCCGATGTTCTTATTTTCTTGCTTTTATTTTTCTGGCTTATTTTCTTGAAGAATACATGTGCAAAATGATAACTTAAATGATTTTACCCAGCTCACGCATAGTGATTTAATAAAAATATCTTTAAGTATTTATCAAATTAAGTAGGCTAGGTCCCATTATGGAGAACACATACGACAAGATGGGAGATATGAAATTGAAGTGTGTTGAGAAACGGACTAACTACTACTAAACTAACCATTCTAGCTGGCTATTAAGAGGTCGAATGAAATTGAGACATTCAAATCAGACAGCTCAAAAACATATTTTACATATATTTTAGTTGACAGTATTACAGTATTAGTATTAGTACAAACAGTAATATTTTAATTGCTTGGTAGGAAAAAGAACTGTAGGTTGCTGTTGTCATGTAATGTCAAGATATGGTACCTAAGCTGGGTAAGTCATCAAGAGAATTTAATACGGCATGCACCGTTTTTATACGATATTTTATTTGTTTATGATGAAGTGGACAATTAATAAATCATTAAAAGAGAAAGTGTTTTTAATTCATACTCCCTCTGTTTTTTATAATAATTATTTCAAACCTCTAGAAATTAGTTGGACGGTGGCGTTTGAATCCTATATATGTGAATGTCCTAACTACATATATACTTAAAATTATGGTAAAGTCTAGTTTACAGTAAAGTCTAATAATTATTTTCTTACAGTGTAATGTGAGAGCTCGGTGTAAGAATAACATTGTAAGCATAACGTAAGCAATAACATTGTTTTGATACAGAGCAATTACATCCTATATTTTTTTTTCTACCATGAAGCAGTCGTAAACATTTTAGTTTTATAAAAATGGTATTGGTATATAAATAAAATAATGCAGTAATCGTTACTATAACACCAGGCCCAGCTTCCTATGAACTTTCACCCGTCTCCTTTGCAAAACATTTTCTAAGTGTAATACAATTTTCTAAGTAAATCGTTCGTATTATTTAGTTTACAAGTTACTGAAGACAAAATATACTATAGGTAATAGAAATCGCATATAGCGATAAGACCGCCCATTGTAATGCCTTCTAATATTTTGTAGTTTATGTTTTTTCTATTATTTTGTGTTACAGTGTGTGCAATAAAAAAATTATCTATCCATTTATCCAAATCATTTTTGCATTTTATGGCAGATTTCAATGTTTTAAAAAGGTCAAAGTAGGTCGTCGGTGTTATAACTATTAGAATTGTTAATATCCATTTTGAAAATTAACTTCTAAAGGGAAGAAAAACACTATTTTTTAAAGTTTCAAAATCGCATCAATAGTAGTATATAAGTTGCTTGTGTCACTAACTACAAAGTGTCATGAAAGCCCAGTAGTTTTAGTACATTGAGAATACACAGTCAGGCAGACAAACAAAAATTCAAACTTACCACTTTAGGAATGCTGAAATTTTTTTTTGTTTAGAAACATTGATTTGTAATAAATGACCTTATACTTATTTCATTCTAACCTGTTTTTATTTTATTTCCGAAGAAAATGCAAAACAATTTTTTATTATATATAAAAAAAGAAGAAGACCTTTTTCCTATTTATTTGAGGGTCGCTATACAATTTGCTTACCGTAACGAGGCAGCCACTCGAAAACCTTTCTTGCTTAAATTGGTTTTAGTGTTTTTTATGAAGAAAATCTTGTGTATATGTTCACAATATGTTAACTTTCTTAAAGAAAATCAGGATGTTGTGTGCATGTTGCACACAACATCCTGATTTTCTTTGCTGTGCATATTTTGACATAGTACCTACTTTTCAAATGATAATAGTTTTATTACAACAATCAAAAAGTACTTTCATTTCGATGTTCTCAGATTAATAAAAGGATAAGTAGTACACCTACCGTTTTATGTTAATGTTATCACCTTTGCTTAGAATTGATTTCAGTAATGTTTCCTGAAAATTATGAAGTTCGTTACTGTAGTAGAATAAATATTATTTAATCATGTACAAAATTAATTTATATCTTAAGTAAGTAAAATTTAATTGCTTATTACACAATTATATAATAATTTAATGTTACTTGTCATATAAGGGCCGATTTCTTTTATTCGGCAGTTAAAAGTTACCCTTCAAATAAACTATAACCCAGCAGCACCCTGGCTGAATATAAAACTTAAACAGTTGAGCTATTTCGTGCGTACAACTCTAGTTTTTAACTTACTTATTTTGTGTTTATCATATGTATACCTAATAATTATTTTTTTACGAAAAATGTTATAATCAATGATGTTTTAAATTAACTTATTTATAAAGATATAAAGATAAATTAAAAAATAAGTAAAATAAGATTGGGAACATATAATTTTAAAATAAGTTATATTGACTAGTTAGGAGTTAGGATTGCCGTTTATCGGATGGACTGTAAGTTGATTCGTTACGTCATTAACGAGACACTTGTTTCATAAAAAATTATAAGTACATACCAACAACTTGCTTGATTTTCTGAAGCTAGTATATAAAATCCGCTCATTCGTCTTTCCAATGCTAAATATAGAATACGTAGTATTAATTTATAACTAATCTAAGAAATAAGGAAAAATAAATGCAAGAACAGTTCAAATCCAAGATAGTGGATTAAAGTATCTTACGTGTTTCCCAAGTTATTTAAGTTACCATAAACTAAATAGACATCATTGTGTGGAAATTGCACTGCGGATTTTAGCATTCCGAGAGATGGTCTTAATAACGTGTGTCCTGGTAGGATGGGTTCAGCTTTAGGCAGGTCTTCAACACGCTTCGGTTGACCTAATATTGATTCTTCGGATCCTAGTCTTCTCTGTCAAATATGTATTATCGTATTTAGTAAAAAAATCTTCATCACCTCGTTTTAGTCTGCTACTGGACAGTTGACCTCTCCCGTAAGGGAAAAAGTAAAGTTACAGCCTATATACGTCACACACCTCGTTACAGTCCTCTTTTACCATTTCTGAGAGAATTTCACGCGTTAAAAGGGAGATATGTCTATATCACCACACCAGTAAGCGGATTTTATATTGCAGTTTTAGACATCTCGAGCCTCTGACGCTTCTCACCGTAACTTATCTTTATGTCTGATGTAAACTAGATGGTTATAAAGACGTCTGTCGGTATCCCACTGGAGTAAAAGAAAAACTTTAAACTGGTTGTGAGTGCGGTTTGATCTGACCATTTGATTTACTTATTTGACTATAATTAAAACTTAATCATACAATTACTATGCAAGAAATTGGTTATATCATCAATGCTGCAATGTGCCTATTAAGATTGCAATATTTTAAGTAATAAGTATTTTTAGTTTATTTAGTGTAACCTTGCCCTGTTTGTTTTAAATTAATTTTTTAAAAAAGTACTTTTATTTAATAAAGTAGAAGTAATAAACTAAAATACAGTCTTATGGTAAGTGACTTCTGTATCCAATGAACACCTGTAACCGACTTTAAATAAATAAGGCTACAGATGCGTTGTCTAAAGGCTAACATGGAATGTCTCTAAGCCTGTAATTATAATGGCTTTCTATATCTTTTAAAACGGAATACAGCAATTAACGTATGCTGCATATACTGCATGCTTTTCGGTGACACAATACCCACACGGACTCGGACTAGTAAAATTAGTTCGATCCCGTACCGTGGCAGTAACTGAGGCAGATGCCCTGAAGGAGCATTTTTTAACAAAGGCGGGACGAAAAATGAGGTTTATTATTTATATTATGGTTATATCTTTAAATATTTATCAGTTTGTGTTATGCATTTAAATTGTAAATTTAAGTCCGTACTTTCTTATATCAAAAAAACCCGAAATTGTGGAATAAAGTGTGTTATATTTAATAAAGTTTTTAATTTTTGCTTCGAGTGAGACTTATACATATAATAACTTCACACATCAACATATACGTAATAATTTGAGTTGATTTGCATAGTATCGTTCTCCTTAATACTGTTAGAATACTGTTAAATTGAGTTAAGAAGAGTTTCAGTTAGTTCACCTGTACAATGTAATTGAGTGGTATACTGAGTTAGAAACGAACAAGGGAGACAGCATCGGTACTGATTATATAATATATAAAAATTGTTTATTGTAAGTATTTAAGTAAAAAAATGTATCTTCATTCGGTTATTTGGTTAAAATACCTTTTGAGATTTTGTAGTAAACAAATATTTAAACTTTTTTAATGCTACTAGAACTGTTTCCAAAAGAGGACCCCTATTTAGAAAAAACGACGATAAGAAATAAAAACAGCTATTTTGCGGTAAAACTCCGCTACTCTTCGCACTCTTAATGTCAGAATTAAATAATTGAACTTACGAAACACTTTTATTCTTTTTAGGAGTTTTCTTTTATGTTAAGATTTTTTCTGTAAAGTTTACTTATTAAACCCTTTTGATACCCAAAACTAAGCAAAATCACAGTTATATATTGCATTTTAATTTTTTGCACCCAAGTGGTGAAGTTTATACTTAAAATCAAAACGGAAGCAACTCAACACGTTACTTATTTATGCATATGAATAAAATTGAAGAATCTCTGTACTTTTCAAATAGCTGGATTCTATTAAGCTCAGGAAGTTACTTGCATGCTATTGAGACATAAACAACCATTTCTATAATTTTTGTCTGTGTGTTCGAAATAATCTTCAAAATAGCTAAACTGATTGTGATTAAACTTTATAAACAAATAGAGAGTATTTTTCTACATTCATCAGGTGGATAGTGTGCTTATATGTTAACCTTATTTCTAGGCTATATTTTATCCGAAAAAATAAGATTTTTTAAAAAACATTAGAGTTGATAAAATAAATGTTTTTTGATAAATTTAAATCTAAATAACGCAGTTAAATAGATCCAAACCAGGCGGAGTCTTGGCGGGTGGCAAGTACCTATAATTACAGTACATAAAATATAATTTCAATAAGTACACAATTTTTGCAGGTTTAGCGTAAGGCATGTACAAAAAACTAGTCGAATTGAGAAGATGTTTGTTTTTTTTAAATATTAACAAATAAATCAATTGATCATCAGTTGGTAGTTTACAAAATAAAATTAAGTAATAATGAATAAATTTCACAAAATTAGTATTTACCCCGTAAATAATCTATCGGTTAAGATAAAATACAGAAAGGATTCGATTTAAAGCCATAACAGTAGGTCGCGCCCGCCTGAAATTTCAAGAACAGAGAAGGAACCTGTGTTTGATCTCCACTTAAATACTGAAATTGTTGATTACAATTTTAAATGATTTCGCGATAGAATTAAATTTAATTGTTTCTGTTAATCAAAGAACCGACTATGTAATCATGGAAGTCTTAACGCAATGTCTGCACATTCGTCGTACTTGTTAACATATTTTTCTTGTCTTGTTTCTTGGGGCTAGTCTAGTCAGGTTCTATAGATATTGCACCGCATATTTAGTTTCCGATGGATCTCTTATTATTTTTCATTCTTTATTGTGTAATATAAACCCTACAAAATTGACAAACACGAGGTACTTACGGAGTTTATTTGGCTGTTTCTTCTCCGGTCTAATGAACCTCGTTTTGAAATCGTAGTAGATTTTAATTAAAAAAACATATATTAATGGAATTATAATATATTCATAAGTCAAATAAATATACTTCATTTCTTACATACTATAATGAAACCGATGAAACGGAATACATGAAATCATCACAATTCATTAATTTCATCTTTAGTGACAAAACTGTTAATAACTCCCCAAAAGTACTTGGATGATAGTATTCCACCTATGCTTAGACACATGCTTTGTGTGCGGAGGATGATAACTGCTAAACTCAATTGTAAAAGTTTCCTGCATGTATAAGTTTCAGCGATGCTGACGACATAACAAAGCAAAGAGGATTTCGTATTAATCGCGTGTTTAATAAAGTACTTGAAACTATACGCAATAATAATGAAACATATATTTTATTGCGTATAGATAATACTGTTAAGAGCTAGACCTTTCACTTAGTACTGAGGGCTTAAAAAACCATATTGTCTACTTTTATGTTTTAAAAAATACTGTAGGTATATTAATATATTGGCGTACGGCCGCAGGTGTCGAATGGGCAACATGGATAACTCGAGAAAGATTTTACGACTTCCAAAAGATGGCAGTATGAGTATAACTACCTCGTTGAGCATAAATGACGTAAAATATGTGTTTACGTGACGTCAGGTACTGCGTTCAACTATCCGCCTGCCAAGTGTTACAAATAAAGCAAATAAAAAAAACATAAATATTGCACAGTTCTCTTTTAGATATAAGCAAAGAGAGAGCTTCTTGGTGCAAGCTTAGATATTTTATTCAATTTAAATTCAACGTCATAATATAAATTAAAATTAATTAAATCATTGAAATTATGGTGATAGCGTTAGAAATTAATGAAATTCTAATTTTATTAAAAATTTGATAATTTCTTTGACAAGCAAGCACGGAGAAAAACTGAAATAAAATAGCACCTACACTTGCGAATATCCATAAATCTAACCAGAATATAGAAAACTTCATTGAGTTCGTCACTGCACACTAAAAATTAATAATTAAGCACAAGAAGATCGTAAATATATAACTAGTCTAGAAGATAAAATAGAAAATATGCAGAAAGGGATGAGAAAAGCAAGTTTAGAAGTAAAGAACGTACCAAAGAAAAAAATGAGACGAATTAAGATTTAGTAGAAATGGTCATATGTCTTTCAAAGAATATAGGCTGTGAAAGAAACAGGGCGGAGTTAAAAGATATATACTTATAGAGTGCGAGTAAGAAAAGAAGGAGTGAAAAATACACCAGTTGTGGTAAAAATTACTTCAAGTTGAATAAAAAACTACTTCCTCAAAATGAGCAAATCATTCAATATAACACATAAATGAAAAAATTGTGCAAAATATTTTGGTCTTCGGACACCTGAAGCCACCCTGCTCTTTAAATCTGAAAATCTGATTGCCAATGCATTGCGCTTATATTTCAGTTTTACAACCGATGCGAAAGTTTAAATACGAAAGGATGAAAACTATCACGTCATCTCTGATCGCTTTCTATTATTATACCTGTACACAAGAATGGAAGCAGAGACGATATAAAAAAATTATAGGGCTGTTTCCATCCTACCAAACCATATCCTAAAGAAATCCTAAAAAAATTAATTAATAAAAGGTTAATACAGTATTTAGATAAATATAATATTCTATCGCAAACACAGTATGGTTCTATGAAACAGTGGTAGAGCCACGCGGCAGCTTTGCTGTTGCACGTATAGGGCGACTCAAACCGGGGTGATACCACGACTTCACAGAATACCGGCGTGAAGTGGAAGCTCTGCTTCCGCGTTTCGTTTGGTGAGTGCAGGTGGCCGCAGGCCCAAATCCCCCTCCCCCATCAACATGGCAGCGGAATTAAATGATGATAGACTATCCCAGGAGGGTACCAGCACCCCTGGAGAATCCCTCGCTGAGCATCTACGACCATGTTTCTCCACGCCTGAGCGTGGGTGCTCAGGCTGCCCCGCGTATTCTGTTGGGGCAAAATTTCGCTCAAGACTACAACTGCTCGGGGGGCAAACGGAGTAACAAGACTAAGGCGACCCCTGCCACGCTATCCGTGAACTTCTGCAATATCAGGGGACTTCACTCTAACCTAAACGCCGTCCACTACCATCTCGAGACGGCGAGGCCGGCTCTGCTCTTTCTGACCAAGACGCAGGTATCCTCTCCGGCTGATGTCTCGTATCGCTCCTACGCGGGGTACAAACTGGAACACTCATTTGTGCCTTGGACTGGAGTTTACGTTTATGCCAGAGAGGA